GAGCAGACCAAACTGGGAGGAGTGTCTGACACGCCAGAAGGCTGTGCAGCTACCCAGAGGGACCTGGACAGGCTGGAGAGCTGGGCAGGGAGGAACAACGAAATTCAATAAAAGGAAGTGTAAAGTCCTGCATTTGGGGAGGAACAACCCCATGCATCAGTACAGGCTGGGGGCTGATCTGTTGGAGAGCAGTTCTGGGGAAAAAGACCTGGGAGTCCTAGCTGATAGCAGGATGACCATGAGCCAGCAGTGTGCTCTTGCAGCCAAGAAGGCCACTGGCATTCTGGGGTACATTAAAGGAACGTGGCCAGCAGGTTGAGGGAAGTTCTTCTCCCCCTCTACTCTGCCCTGGTGAGGCCCCAGCTGGAATACCGTGTGCAGTTCTGGGCTCCTCAGTTCAAGAAGGACAAAGAACTTTTGGAGAGGGTCCAGTGCAGGGCTACTAAGATGATCAAGGGCCTGGCACACCTGTCATATGAGGAAAGGCTCAGGGAGCTGGGGATGTTTAGCTTGGAGAAGAGGAGGCTGAGGGGGGATCTTAATGCTCATAAATATCTAAAGGGCGGGTGTCAGGAACATGGGGCCAGGCTCTTCTCAGTGGTGTCTGGCTACAGGACTAGAGGCAATGGCCACAAGCTGGTGAACAAGAGACTCAACCTGAAGATAAGGAGAAACTTCTTTACGATGAGAGTAACAGAGCACTGGAACTGGCTGCCCAGGGGGGTGGTGGAGTCTCCATCTCTGGAGACTTTCAAGGGCCGCCTGGCCATGTTCCTGTGTGATGGAATCTAGGTGACCCTTCTCTGGCAGGGGGATTGGACTAGATGATCTTTTGAGGTCACTTCCAAACCCTAACATACTGTGAATTTGTGAATGTTGAAACACTACCTCTTCAAGTCACTGAAAGTATAGATAGTACTTATTTTATACTTCCTGCTGCAAAACCACCTGTGCTATAAAATTTTTTAAAAGACACATGTTAAAAAATAGTTTATTTTCATAAAATGTGTTTCTTTTATGTCCAATTGTGTTTTCCTTTTTTTTGATTGCAAATCCATATTTCCTTAAACTGAAGCGTCTGTATAGTTTTTAACATGAAGAAGTGAATATTTTTGCAGAATTCAAGCTGAATTCTGGAAAATCTTTGTTATTATTTAGTATGGAAAGCCTCAGTTAACATAATAAAGTTAGTATTGCATAAAATAAAAACTGCATGGGTTTTGAGAGTCAATGATTTAGGCTGTTGGAAATTCTGTTTACTTAAAACTCTTGCTTTTTGTTGATACAGTGTTGTGGTTATTCATAGCTGATCTGAACTTATGGCTGACATTCCAATTTTTTGGGACAGATACAAATTATATAACCTTTATAAATGCAATATCTCCATTTTGTCTTAGACTTAGAATTCTCTGCTGTGCAACATAAATAGCATTGTAATGCCATTCTTTTTTTTGCCTCCATTTTTTCCCCTCCCTAGTTAAGGCAACCTCCTGTTAAACGTTTGCGGCTAAGAGGGGATTGGTCAGATACTGGACCAAGAGCAAGGCCTGAGAGTGAACGAGAAAGAGATGGTAAATTGTTTGCAGTTGGAGAGGGCCTGTTGTCTTTGCTTGTGTTTTGTTTTGGTTGTGTTTTTTTGTTGTGGTAGTGGTTTGGTTTTGTTTTTTCCAGTTTTCTTTAAATATTCCTGAAATGTGTAAGTGCTTCTGATTAAACTTTCCATGTTTTAAGAATCAGCCAGATCTTAAGATGGTTTTCTTTGAGTTCAACATCAAACTGCTGTTCTACAGTGATTCTTTTTTTTTTTTTTAAATGTCTAAATTGAAAATATTCTTAGCAGAAAAATTATGCTGCTTCAGTTAGGCTGATATAAGTCAAGGGGAATTTGCTTCATTGTCACTGGTTATGTAGTAATACAAATAAGTATTTCCCTTTTTGTAGTCAAGCATCATATGTAATCAAAGTTACAAATTAAATTCTCTGTAATGGTTACAGTAGGGTACTGGAATTCAAAGGTTTAGGGAGAGCCTGTCCTCTTAGCTTAGTCTGTTCTCTTTGTTGCTTCCCCAATATTTGAAGTTACTGGATGAGAAACATTAGAGGGTATGTTCCCATTTGGTCCTTTAGATACTGCATGTGGTTCTATTGCCTGTGAGTTTCTGTAGTCCTCCTTTGAACCTGTTGCTAATATTTCCTATGGCAAAAAATTTCAGGAATTCAGTGCCTACTGTGTAAAGGAATACTTTCTTTCCTTTTAAACTACTTTCTTTTTACAGGGGAGCAAAGTCCTAATGTCTCTCTAATGCAGAGAATGTCAGACATGCTGTCAAGATGGTTTGAAGAAGCGAGTGAAGTTGCACAGAGCAATCGAGGACGAGGAAGATCACGGTCCAGAGGTGATTTCCTTCATTTTAAGAATAGTAATTACCACAGAAAGTGTGTTTGTACTGGGTGTACAGCCCTTGAATATCAGCCTTTCTGAGGTATACACTGAAAAATTCTTAGTGCACTCTGAAGAACTGAGCACACTTTTTTGTCATACGAATAGTAATGCAAAAGAATTTTTAGAGACAGTGTAAGTTTACCTTTGGAATCTTGTTTTTCTTGCTTTATTTTTAATCTAAGGTGGGACTAATCGAACAGATGCTTCTGCCACTAATAATGTGCCACCTAGTACAGAATCAGAAACTGCAATGGAAGTAGATGGTTCTGAAAAACTTGCATCTTCTTCCTCTTCTACAATGTCAGCCCAGGCTCCTTCAACATCATCTTCAACAGCAAGTCCCCCTTCAACTTCATTATTGTCCTCTCCTGATTACGAACAAATGCCTTCTTTAGGGGCCTCAGCTAAACCTGTGCTCCATCAGTCTGGTGAGAAGAAATCCATCTTGTCGTTGTTTATGAAAAATGCTTTCAATAAGAAACAACCTTATTTTAGGCTGTTTTGGGTAATTGATCTTAATCTGTTTCTTGTACATCCTTAATGAGACTGGGTATTATATAGTTACCAAGTGACTGCAGCTGTGGTTTAAAGAGTAAAACCATGAAATGACTGAAGGAAGGAATCTGAAAGGGAATAACCGATATTGTCTTTTCAAGTAGAAAGAAAAAATTATTGCTTGTTTTTTCTAAACTTATTGGTCTCTTCATGGAGTAAAAATAACATCATGCCTTCTTCAGTTGATTTGGCTGTAGCAGCATCAGTGCAATGAACAGCAGAACCTATGCCTGTTGTCACCAGAGGAAGCAGAGGATTTTTCCTTCAGGCGGGATCTAGA